CCACGCCGCGCCGCGCCGCCCGCTCCGGGTCTCCGCAGTGGGGCCGGCGCGCCACTTACCCGCCGCGAAGGGATTTACGTAGCGGACCTCGTCACTGCTTACGGACGCGAGGAGGTGGGGACGACGAGCCCGACGGCCGCTCCGCAGCGGCGCTGCCGCTCAGCCCGCGCCGACCCCACGTCGCCCCCACGTCAGCGGTGATGCGGTAGTCGCGGCTCCCCGCCGAGCTCGGGCCGACGCTAGCGCCGCACTCCACCCAACCGCGTCCTCGAGCCCCGCCCCTTGTCCCCGCCCCCCCACGCCCGACACGCCTCCTCCCGGGACAGCCCTGGCGGGGGGCTGGGGGAAGGCAGAAAAATAGGCTCGAACTCTGCTCTCTGCCGGCCGGCTGCGGGAGTGCAGCGCTGACAATCTAACAATTAAATGGAACGGGGGTGGGAGGGGGTTGGAGGAGCTGCCGTGGGCGGGGCCTACGGGGTGGGCGGAGTTACGGCCCGGAGCAGGAGCCTATAGGAGGAGCTAGCCCGCGGGTGGGTCGGAAGACCTGTACCCGGCCGGGGCTACGGAGTGTGAGGAGTGGGGAAACCTTAGAGGAAGGGCGTAGCCCAGAGAAGGGCGGGAGATAGAGACAGGGGTGGGGCACGGGATCGGACTTGAGACCGGAAGCTTTCTCTACACTTGTGCCCGTGAACCAATTAGTTGTAAGTTACCGGAACGGCGTTCCGGGTGCTCTCCTGCTGGAGTGGCGCTTAGATATGATACACACCCAGGAGTATCACTCAGCCATAAAGAAAAACGGGGATGTATCAGTTGCAAGAAAGTGGAGGGAGATGCCAGATGCCTCTCATTTACTGTACAGACACACACGCTTTTACCTAGGCAGAACTTGATTGTAACCATTTACCTGGGACTGAGGGGACCAGAAGGTGGAGGGAGAGGGAAGGAATGATGCACGGTGAAGGATACCTTGCAAGTATATATGAAGATGGCAAAAGGGCTCACTGAAAGCTGTTGAGCAGTATAGGAATGGGAATATAGGGGAAAAGCAATAGAAGGAGTTACATTAAATATGAAATGGATCCGGGCGCCGGTGGCTCACACCTGTAATCCTAGCTACTCGGGAGACTGAGATCTGAGGATCGCGGTTCAAAGCCAGCCCAGAAAACGGGAAGTGGTGCTGTGGCTCAAGTGCTACAACGCTAACCTTGAGCTGAAGAGCTGAGGGATAGCGCCCAGGCCCAGAGTTCAAGCCCCACGACCAACTATATATATGTATACAATCATACATATGCACATACAAAATACCACGATAAAACCCCTTCGTGCAATTACTAAGCACTGAAAAATACAAGAAAGTGAAACGGGGGGCTGGGAAGGCGGCTCAGTGGTAGAGCGCTTGCCTTGCATGCATGAGGCCCTGGGTTCGATTCCCTAGCACCACATAAGAAAAAAAAGCCGGAAGTGGCGCTGTGGCTCAAGTGGTAGAGCGCTAGCCTTCAGCTGAAGAGCTGAGGGACAGTGCCCAGACCCAGAGTTCAGGCCCCATGACCGGAACCAAAAAAAAAAAAAGAAAGTGAAATGGTCTGTTAAGGTTGAATAGCAGCTGAAGGGGGGGGGGGGTGAATGGAGGACGTGAATAAGGGTAATGATTGAAGCAGTTTGTATACATATATGAAAATACAACGATAAAATGATTGAAAGACTAGGATTAAGGGAGAGGACTGGGTTCAATTCCTCAGCACCACATAACAGAAAAAGCCGGAAGTGGCGCTGTGGCTCAAGTGGTAGAGCACTAGCCTTGAGCTGAAGAGCTGAGGGACAGCGCCCAGGTCCCACAACCGGCAAAAAGAAAAAGAAAAAAAAAGAAATTTCCCAGTGAGCCCCCTTTACCCCCTCCCCCCGCTTTAGACAACTAAAGCATTTAAGCTAAGGTCCCTTTTTTTTTCGGGGTGAGGGTCCGGTCGTGGGGCCTGAACTCTGGGCCTGGGCACTGTCCCTCAGCTCTTCAGCTCAAGGCTAGCACTCTACCACTTGAGCCACAGCACTACTTCCGACTTTTTTCTTTTTGCTTACGTGGTGCTGAGGAATCGAACAAGGGCCTCAGGCATGCAAGGCAAGAGCCCTACCACTGAGCCACCTTCCCAGCCCCAGCCAACGTCCCTTTTAAAAAGGGAATCGATTTTGAGACTTTCTGCACAACCAGATGCATATAGTCAATATGCATATAGTCAATAATAATTCATTTTATATTTCACAGTAAATTTCAATGATCTCACCAGAAAAGAACAGAACCACCCAAAAAATTAAAGGTGACAGAAATGTTAACTAGCTTGATTTAATCGTACCACATTGTGTACACCTATCAAAGGATCGTGTTGTGTCCCATAAATTATGTAATTATGATTTGTCAGTCAAAAGTAACTTTTTTTGTTTGTTTGTTTTTTTGGTCGGCCTTGGGGCTTGAACTCTGGGCCTGGGCGCTGTCCCTCAGCTCTTCAGCTCAAGGCGAGCACTCTACCACTTGAGCTACAGCGCCACTTCCAGTAATTTTTTTAAGAAGAAAAATAAGAAAGTGCAAACTATGCCTCTTTTTTTGTATCAGTACCACATCATTTATGTGGAAGTGTTAAGAAATGCTGCATTTTGGAGACTAAGAAAGCACTAAGATTAAAATACCCATATTTTAGCACCTACCACATATCATGGCCACTAATAAAAGAACAATAAAGCTTTCTTGTGTGACCTCAGCTTAAATGCAGTCTTATCAGCAGGGCCAAGTTTCATACCCTCTTGAGAGAGGCATAAGACTTTTAAACTAGGAAGAAGAATAATACCCACCTCCTAAGATTGTTATTTAAGCAATCAAGCCCGAAGCTGGGCACTGGCAACTCAAGCCTGTAATCCTAGCTACTAAAGAGGCTGAGATTTGAGGATCTAAGTTTTAAGCCAACCTGACTATGAAAGTCCGTGAGACTCCAACTCACCACCAACAAGCCTGGAGGAGAGCTGTGGCTCAAGTGGTAGAGCACTGGCCTTAAGCACAAAAGCTTAGGGTCAGTGTCCAGGCCCTGAGTTCAAGCCCCAGGACTGGCGCGCATGCAAACACACACACACACACACACAAAACACAAAACTCTGTTTTCCTGGCAGCAGGCCTGTTTAGCAGATTAATCTGTAAGATAGGTGTCATTCCCTTCTTATAGAGAATGCAGCTTGTACCTCAGTCTCCTCTTTCCTATTTTTTAAAATTTTATTTTATTGTAAAGATGCTGTAGAGAGGGGTTACAGTTACAGAGTAAGGTAATGAGTACATTTCTTGTCGAGCATTGTTACAATCTCCCTTGTTGTTTTCCTACTATCCTTCCCACTATCCCTCCCCATCCTCTTTCCTCTTGACTCCTCTTCCTATCCTTGAAAATGTGTTCACACTTAGTCTCCCGGAACTGCTTGCCACAGAAGTCACATGGTCACACACATTACATTTTCAAATTCGCCCTTCTGTCTGCTCCTTCAGGTCTTACCATCCTCTAGCCACCAGTTTGTTCGACAGTAGAGGCCACTTGCCACAGTCACTCCTTCAACACTTACCACTTTTTATTTTTATTTTTGCCTGTCCTGAGGCTTGAACTCAGGGCCTGGGCTCTGTCCCTGAGTTTCTCTGTGCTCAAGGATAGCCCTCTACACTTGAGTCACAGTGCCACTTCTGGCCTTTTCCGTTTATGTGGTACTGAGGGATCGAGCCCAGTGCTTAATGCACGCTAAACAAGCACTCTACCACTAAGCCACATTCCCAGCCCTCACTTACCATTTCTTTCTTTTTCTTTCTTTCTTTCTTTCATTTTTTTTTTTTGGTTGGTCGTGGGGCTTGAATTCTGGGCTTGGGCACTGTTCCTGGGCTCTTCAGCTCAAGGCAAGCACTCTATCACCTGAGCCACAGAACCACTTCCAGTTTTCTAATGGTTTTATTGGAGATAAGAGTCTCACAGACTTCCCTGCCAGGGCTGGCTTTGAACCTTGATCCTCAGATCTCAGTCTCCTGAGTAGCTAGGATTACAGGCTTGCGCCACTAGTGCCAGGCTATTTACCACTTCTTATTCCCTGACTCCTTAGCTTTTACTCACTCCCTTCTCTCTGATTACTACACCTGACCTCTTTTCTCACTCTTTATCTCCTTAACCTCTTTTATTTCGTCTTGGAAAGATGTTTTCTTCTAGAAACTATGACTTATTTTTTCTTCTCAAAGTGAGCTCTGTTCTACTCTGGAAACTGTAGGATTTGATCAAATTAGTGCAGAGACTTGGGTTTTTTTCTCTAAATACTTTTTGGCAAAATGATGCCAGTAATAGTATTTCTCTTATTTTTTTGGTTAAAGTCACCAGTAGTAATTCATATTCACATGCTTAGGGACACAACCCAGGGCCTCCTGCTTGTAGGCACCTATGATGAGTTATTTTCTGTTTTTAACTTTTGGGAATTTTTTTTATTCCCATATGTAGCTATGCAAGGTGGTTTCATTTTGAGATTGTCACACATGCATCCAAAGTATTCTAATCAAAGTCACCCCTCTATACTTCTCCCTTACTCCTCCCCATTTCTTAAAACAATTTCATCAGCCTTTATTGTTTGTTTATTTTTTGCCAGTCCTGGGGCCTGAACTCAGGGCCTGGGCATGTCCCTGAGCTTCTTTTACTCAAGGCTAGCACTCTACCACTTGAGCCACATTCTCACCCCAGATTTTATTGTTTTATCTGCATATATGCAAATAAACTACTTGGACTATATTCATCCTCATCTTCTGCTTCCTGCTGATACACTCCGCAAAAGAGCCTACTTTACTCTTCTGCCATTCATTTTTTAAGTATATTAATTACATCTCACCTTTTCCCCTCTTCATTCATCTGGCTCATACCTACAAACCTCTTAGATACTCAAGAGACTTGAGATCTGAACATTGAAGTTCAAAGTCAGTTGGGACAGGAAAGTCTGTGAAATTCTTATCTCCAATTAACCACCAGAAAACACTACGTGGTGCTGTGGCTCAAGTGGTAGAGCATGTACTTTGAGCTGAAGCGCTAAGGGACAGTGCCCATGCCCAGAGTTCAGGCTCCATTACCAACAAAAACCAACAGCAACAACAAAAAGCTTTTTAAAAATTATATGCTGATCAGAATAATCTTCCCTATTATTTCTCT